TAATGAAAGGAAATTGTGAATTGACACATTCCTCTGTCCTCCTAGCTTTGAGAGAAGTGACACTTTAAAAGCTTTTTCTCACTCCACAAATGTTCTTTCTTCCTGAAGGTGGGTGATCTACAACGACCACAAAGTGTGTTTGTCAGAAAGGCCTCCAAAAGACTTGGGCTACATCTACTTTTACCATCGACTGTCAAGCAGTTAAACTAAAGATACCGCCCCCCCCTAACCCCCTCCACCATGCAACCTTTTAGAGAACCGCAGTCTTTCCCCACCGAAGACTGTCAGACAACTTTAATAACAGCCGCAGTGAAAAGGATGGAAATAACCTCTCAGACCAGCTGCTCGCCTTACCGTGACGTCGTGCCGGAGCAACCAGGAACCCCGCTCAGAAAGGGAAAGCAATGTGCTTTTTGTGCATTTGTGTTTTGTTATGCTTTAAATGTATATATTCAGTGTGTATGTTAAACAAAATACATTTTCGTGACAGTGTAGGTGCAGAGGGATGTGTGCAATGTCCACTTCTCTACACAAAATAATGTCACATATCAAATACCATTGTTCCTCCTCTATGCCTTTAGCTACAGTGCCAGTATTTTCAAAGTGGTACATTTTATAAATGTATATTGAAATGGCTTCACTGCCAGCCCTGAAATGCTCTGAAACGGCAACAACAAACATGAAATGCTGCTGCCGGTGCTTTGCATTTTGTAATGCCTTTCATCCCTAGGAAATTGAAAGGACATTTCAAGAATTCAAATCTTTTGGTTGGATACTGAAAGAAGTTACAAACACAGTGAATGTTCGTACTGTAGAGCACTGAGACGGTTGTGCTCAAGTGTCAACTAGACTGTAGTTACCATACAGTATGAGTGGTTAAATAATGGCTCAAACCTGCCTCGAGCTCTACTGAGAGATTACATGCAAGTTTTTCTATTTTAATGAGAAACATTTAAAGGTAAACTGGCTAAGAGCTGAAAGCACTTTTTAATTAAAACAAGTTAAATGAGCTAAAAGCAATTAATTTGAATGTGATAACTACAATTTAAACTTCAGTTCTGCAATGCTGTCCTTTTTCTAAGATCTCTATCAAATCAAGAGTGCTTGAAACGTCATTTATTAGTTTGCCCAAATTACAAGAATGTTAGACAACTTTTAATCTCAGCTGCACCAGTTTATTCTGTTATCACTGACACAAACGTTTAAATGAATGTTTTGTTCACCTTTTGCCACTTTTCAAATGATTGGTTGATTCACTTAATTATGCAACTACAACCAAATCTGCTCTTGAAACCACCCAAAGCCGTACGGTACAGATGTGCTGCGGTGCTGAATGTATGACTCGATGGTGCTCACTGCAACCAAAACCTCCTGTTCAGCTGAAACTCTACCATTTGGTCTCTACAAATAACCTCATGCTGGATTATCTACTGACACGATGCTCATCTCATTTATATACTCAGTATGTTTATAGAGTGCCGGAAAAACGTAGATATTATGTGATTATTTGCCAAAGGCAGCCTCTGACTGAATCTGGTGTCATCTGTTGCATCTCAAAAAGGCAGTGTTGGTATTTTGTCTCATGGGACAAATCCAGTTTGGTGAGCTTGCATGCAGTGAATTGAATTGAGCAGCCATCGAATGCTGTTCATCCAATGGCTGCATTTTGGGTAGATATTTTAAAGGGGAGTTCTGCTTTAAAATAGACTTCTCGAATGTGACAGTATTGTGTCGATGTCTTTTAGATATTTCTATTTTTAGTTGTTTTTTAAGTCATTATCTCTCATATCCAAGAAGACGGCAATTATTTGACAATGAAAAGACATTTCCAAATGTCATTTTAACTGCATATCTCATGAACATCGAAACCGTGGAAAATAGTTAGGTGATATTATTATAGTTTTCAAAATGTCTTTCAACAATCTAAATTAATGCTTTCTATGACCAGTCATTGCAGTATTTCCTTGATAACTGATCACTTTCAGATAACATTTTATGAATAAATCCATATTTTGGCAGTACTTCCCTTTTTAAAAACACAGTGCCTAGATTTCTCTGCAATTTAGTTTTATTCTAGCAACATCTCGTTTTCATCAGATAGTTGTTGATAAACTGCTGCAGTGTTTATTGTCTATGCAGCAGGGAATTGTAATAGTTCTCTATGCAAGTCTTTTGTTTCTGCCGTTGTTCTTCTGAGAATTGTTTGTTTGTTTTTGTTTTCAAAAACCAAATGTGTGTGTGTGTCACACCCTGCTCTGGAATCCGTGACTCTGCTCTTCATCATTAGATAATAATCTTGCTGTATGAAGTACAGTCACAAACGTCTACAGGTATTCTGTGCAATTAATTTTCTTTGTCTTTGTATTTTTTTAGTTTTTGTTTCAGCTTTCCCTCCAGCTTGGTCTGTTTCCATTTGTTTTCCTATGTTGTTAAAACGGTTCCATTTTTAACAAAAAGGCTTTTTCACTGTCAGCATGTGCACTAGACGTTGACATTTAGTCATTTGGATTGGACAATTGTACTTTTGTGGGTTGTATTCTCATTTTTTCATTTAACTAAATGTCAAAAAAGGTTCCTCATTTGTTCCACTCTGTTGCCTTTTTGCAAACAAGTTTGTGCCAATTTTGTAGTTTTCATTACATAGATTTCCTGATGGGATTATTTTAAGTTGACTTTTGTAATGTATGCTTTCATCCAAATGTGGCTTAGTTGTATGTGAATAGAGTCATCACAGTATTCTCAGTGGCACTGTTTACCTACGATGTTTGGATAATTTAATAAACTACACTTTTGTTGAGACTTTGCCTCCGTAACAATGATCAAGAAACTCCAATTCCAGAGTTTTCAGTGAGAAAATAAAGACACATGAACATAGAATATATAACAACAGTTTATTTTAAAAGTTGACTTTCATATTGTAGGTTTCAAAGGTGCTAATGCTTTCTTGTGATTATACAGGGATAGTAATATGCATTATAGTAGGTGTTTCAATAAGTAATCCATACTGTATATAAAGTATATCATTTCTATGTTCATTCATTAAAATATCATTTTATTTGATGCATCAAGAAATAAACTAGAACAAACTGCCTTTGTACACATGTTGAGTTAAAGGAGTGAGGAAAGACATTACAGGAAATGTACTGATAACCTTTAGAAACCCCAACCAATGTCCCTGTTAACATTACATCATTTTATAAATGCTTTCAAAACCAATTTTTTCCAGAAGACTGACACATTTTTACCTCACTTACAAAGCAAACGGAAATGCTTTATTCATCTGAAAAAGTGTTCAACATTGATGAGTTTCTGCAGGTCTTAAACAAATAAAAGGTAAATAAAAGTATTATTTAATTTGCAAAAGTCTTACATATTTCCTTCTTTCCTACTGTAGGGAGTTGAAGTAATACATAATTAATATTCATATTTATCTTGTTTTATGTCATTTGATTGGTGGTGGGTTCGACTCATTACTGAAAAAAATATGGGACCTACTCTCAGTTCTTGTGAAAATTCATAATAAGATGAGTTTTTGGTCATACACTGTATTCATTAAGGATTTTTTTTTTAAATGAATTTCACAAGGTATTTCTTATTATATAAATATAAATGTATTCCATAAAAGCAGGTAAGAACAGACACAAAACTCTGTTGGCTGGGGTCATTCAAAGTGTTACCAGTACATTTGTAACTTGTAGAAGCCACTTTTAAAAAAGTTTTACAGAATATAACTATGACAAGCGAGTGGTAGCAATGTACCAATATTCAAGCTCAAGAATCGTCATGTTCAGTAAATATTAAGTTTGTTACTCTTCTTGAGCCGTGCACACTCACGCATTCTATGCAGGAAAAAGCCTCTTGTATAGAATATATACTGAATATATACATCACTTTTTGTCAAGGTTGCAGATTTAAAAAGTGCATTGTAGAAATATTGCAAGGAAACCTTATGATATATTTTCCTACAGTACGTTAGTGGGAGGCGAAGCAAGCACATCCATGTATTTCATGCATACCAATGAAAATAGCATTCGAAGCAGTTCATGGAAAGGATCTAGCATGCGATCAACTTGGATCTGTTCCTCAGAGCATGCGTTATGCTAGGCCAGTTCACCTGAGAAGGTACAATAGGTAGGTTCTACAAAAAGGAAACGGTCACCAGGCATCATATCTCAATGCGCTGCAGTATTATGTACACAGTAGAAGTTTAGGTTTCAAGCTTGCAATTTAAAGTTTCTTTAAAAAAATACGTTTCTCATTTTTAACACAACTACAGTATCTTGAAATGCAAAAAACAGAGGCCTACAACCCCATAAGAAAACTAGAGTTGATTTAGAAAGCACAACTTACCAGACATCATGTTTATGAGTTTCTATAGATCACTGCTGACACAAAAGAAAGCTGTGAGGACCAGAGAAAGATTATGTGTTCATATTTAAAAATGGAGGGATGCCGTTAATGTCTTTCATTTTTCTAAAGCACTTTGCCTTGTGTTGAAATTAAACTTAAGAATACCTCCCATGATTTTATAGTTTATGAAAACTTTAGATGCTGAGACTCTGATTTGATACTAAATAAACAAACATGTGGGCATGCTCACATTGCTGGTCAGTGTGCTTCCAGCCTGCACTGTTAGCACGTCCACCATAAGAGACAGGTGGATGTCAACAGAAGGAAAAACACTTGGCTGACTCAGATTTAAAGTGGACCTATCATGCAAAATGCACTTTTGTACGTCTTTTATACATGAATATGTGTCCCCGGTGTTCCAGGGAACTCACCAAGTGTCAGAAAATACAACCCTCTCTCTTTTCCTCCGTACCCAAATCTTTTAAAAACGGGGCTACAACGACCGGATACAGATTCCATCCGACCCGACGTCAGCCCGGAATAGTGGGCGGTGACGCTCCGCCTACATGGGCAACACTCCACCTATCAGGGGAATGAGAGGTTGCCATGGCATGGTAACAGCATGGTAACAGCATGGTAACATGACGCTCGTGCCTCGCCCCCCTCCTTTGCAGGGTGGCGTGGTCAGCTGCAGCTCATTTGCCACAGAATCAGCCCTTGCAAAAACAGTGCTGGAATACAGCAAATAGAGCGAAATGAGGCATGGCTAAAATGCATGATCTGTTTGGTATTTTGAATAAAAAACTTCACAGACATGTTTTATATAGGTATGGCCCTACAATATATTATTCAAATATAGCATGATAGGTCCACTTTAATGTAGATTTAAAATAGATGCAAGACTGCTCACAATGTAAAAGCTATCATGCGTATGGTTGGCATTCATACTTCATATCAAAGCCACTATCTTAGTTTTTGGGTATGCACAGTTGCTATTTAGCTGTAATCAGAAAGCGCAGCTGAGGCTAATGAGACTGTTTGAAGTTTGGCAGATAATTGGTCATGAATGTAAAAGGTGACAGTAAATCAAAAGTATTAGATACATGAAATATTTGAACTGATGTCGATGAATGATTTTTTTTTTAAAGTCAGGGGATCACAAAGGTCAGAAGGAGTCATCCTCTGCCGAACATGAATGTCACAGCAATCCATCAAACCAGACATTTAAGTCTGAACAGACCAACAGTTCCATTTAGAAAGCCATACTGATAGCGTACCAAAATAATTTAAGTAATTTAATGAAAAGGAAATATTCAATAGGATAGCACTGGTGGACTCCCATATATTACCCATGTAAAAAACATACACTGCCAATTATTTGATCATAATTGAATACATTTGGGCGAGCCCTTCTGCTTTGGCCTCATTTCCCTGTCCATTGTGCAGCCCCCCCCCCTCGATGCAGATTGTTAGTGGCATGCACATATGTGCTGTGTCTCACTGGGCTGCTCTGCCTCCTTGATCTATTAAACATCATGTGGTCGGCCACAGAGATTCACTGCCAACGTTTCTTTTAAGAATCTGATGGCAGCAAATAATCTGTTTCAATGAATGAGCGCATAACACATAAATGTCATTATTGCACTTAAAGAGTTTTCTCCTTAAAGCAGATCTAAGGTGAGCTTCAAAGACAAATATCCTTTCGCTTGCGTAATAAAACATCAGATAGCAAAGCTTGATGTACGTCAGTGAGTTGACGGGTGCAAGGTCATGTCGGTACACCGCAGAGTTATAAAACATGACGGCTTCATTTTGGGTCGATGCTGTTTGTGTGTTTCGGTTCTTTCTAAATCACTGACCATGTTTGTCTCTTGAAAAAGAACAAGCTCCCTAATGAAACACGGTTTCTCATACAGACCATGACATCAAAGCTGTACAGTTAGGAAGATGAATCGCTCGCCGGTCTCTGGTTTCCCCTGATAGCGTTCTTTAAAAGCACAGAATCGCCACTTCCTTTTGGTTCATCGAGGCAGACAGCAACACAATGACAATACAGAATGGCAACATAAAACATGACCTATTGCATAGGATCTGAGAATAAAACCCTTTCTCTAGCACGCCCAGACTGTTGACAAGCCTGTTAAACACCAAGATGCTGAGTTATGCAGAAAAGCAAATTATCTATCATTTACTCTGATGCCCGGCAAGGAATGTGACGTTCACCTCACAGACTTTTGAAACTAGCAACAGTGATGCTAGAGAAGCCATAACGAACATGTTTAAAAGCTTTGCTTCTGTGATGGTGCAGAGAAATTATCTAGAGTAACTGGCTCAATACAATCACGTGCTGTGTGGATGCACGATAACTTAATGTTTTCATGGGAAATGAAGTTTGCAGATGGTAAAACAAATAGCATTTTAAATATGCGAGGCATTCTGCCAAAGCTGACATACATATTTATATCATGCATGAAGGCTGAGGCAGACAAATGTAATTCAATGTATGGGCTTCACTGCCTGTGGAGGCACATGAAGACACACATGACTGCTTTATGAAATACCCAAAGCATACAAAGGTCTTAGCTTGCAGCTTCACATCAACTACATGTAATTTAATTATACATAGTACAGTATTATTAAATCAAATGTGAGGGCTACTTAAGCAATACCAGAAGATTAAAGAGATATTTTAAGACCTGTAAAAAACATTTGTTCATATGACATTTTTTGAAAGGGGCGGTTTTACAGACCAATGTTGCCCTGGGTTTGTTAATATTTCTCTAGCTAGTCAGCTTAAAGGGAACAAAGAGAAGCTAGGAGCCAAATCAAACACAAAAAATACAACCACGCAAAAATAAATGGCTCATAAAGCTTTCAAGTGCATAAGATGGCAGTTATTTAAAGAAATTAAAACCAGTCTAAAATGGCTTCTCTTTTTGTGTTGCCATAAAAATAGTATATAATAAATATTGTTGTTCGCATGCATTTGAGTAAGGCTTTACATCCTCACTTGGGTTGAGGAAGTTGTTATCTGGAATCAGTCTAAATTGCAAAGGGAAAACTTCTAAAGGTATGTTAATTTTGAACAAGGAATCCATTTATGAAAATGCTTATTCATGCAGTATCATTATTCTCCATTGAAAGAGGATGAAAACAAGCCAGGAACAGAATTTGTAGCTCCAGGTCAGACGGTGCAGCCTTTATCACTTGCTCACTAAATCCATACTTCAGTAGGCTGAGACAGACTTGAGTCTTTGAAAGTAATTGGATAACAAAACCTTTTTTTTTCTTTCTCAAAACCTCCACCTTTCTCTGCAAACACGTGTGAGGGTTCCTGTGTGAGCTTCTCAAAATGTCTGTCTGCCTCTCCTGGCTCAGCTCTGTTCCACTGGATGAGTCGGTTTTAATTGATGTGTTCTCTAAGGCATTGCTCTTACAATCTTTGCCCGTCCCTGTGCTCTTCAGGGAAATCACAAATTGCAGTGCAAATCCACCACAAAGCAGTCACTTCAAGCTCTTGAAAGAACCTCTCCGCAGAACTGCTCTCGAAGAACTTCGGCAAAAAAATGGACAACTTTGACGACTGCATTTAGTTTCGACGTGCATAAAAACCACGCTCACTAATACAGATCCAATATCTGACGTGTGCACTTTGGGCGTCTGGCTAGTAAGTGAAGGAGGAGATGCTATTGTCACTACTTCCCATTCCTCAAATGTCAAGGTTGAAGGCCCGCATGAGAAGATCCAGGTCACCAATATTCGCAGCCTGGAAGAGTTCGGGCTGGTCCATCATGGATAAAGCTATCCTCAGAGCAGCCCAGATGTTTCCAGACATCACCTGGTGGGACTGCTGGCGACTCCGACTTTTCCTCTGAAGGCTCAAAGCCGTCAGGAAGTTTCTGGCCGCCTCTCTGGGGAAGCAACAATACTAAGGATCAGTTTTGTTTAGGGCATGCTGTGTATGCTGTGGAAACTTACAAAAGGTTAATCCTGCACACCCAAATGGAAGATGTCACTTAAAGATTGGATATCTTCACACAGTCAGGTAACACCAGCATTGAATCCGTTAGCAGGAGACAAATTACACCTGTGTCATGTTTTTAGTGTTTGGACAGAATGATACTAAATGATACATGTATTTGTAGAAAGGCCTGTAGCTATTGTGTCATTTTTCCAATTAAATGAAATGCATAAATTATATTGGGTTCAATATTGGGATTAAGGCAGACCTATCCAGGGTGTGGATATCACTGGTAAGCAAGAAGGTGTTTTTTCGATGCATTGTATGAATGTAACATTTCATACATGGATATTAATGGAGCTAGAATTGCGACTTTATTTTTGGCATCATAAAAAAATAAATAAACAAATGCCACTCTACAAAGTGTTTTTAAGTTAACAATGAGTAAGATATGTTTTTACATTTAAACAACACTTTGTTTGGGGGCACTTTTAGTTTGAAGCCCCATGCAGTTACCTACCTGGCCTGAAGGGGAAGCCTGCAACTGATTATTTAATCTTTTGGTACTCCACACATCGTTTGCTCCACTCATATGTTTGACTAAATGACTGGCAGTTGTTACACAAACGTGATTGATTAAGGTAATGGCTACATGTTTGGGATGAAACCGACTCCTCTAGTTTAATATTGTTGTCAGAAATTGAACCAACAGCTGATTAGTTTGACTTGCTGTTGTTTTATTAGATAACGTCATGATAAGCTACTAAATGACAGTGCTACCTTATATATTTTCAAAGCTAGCTCACCTGCTAACGGCCCTGTTGTGTCGCTTCCGGAAAGTTTATGAAGGAATTATCCTGTTAGTGTCCCAAAAGAGACACCGGTTTCTCGAAAGTTAGTTAATCCAGTTGTTAGCCTTATCCCACTCTTCCACCCTGAAGGTTGTTTTCTTCTCTTTGCCGTCTCCAGGGTGAAAACAACTCTTTCAAAAGGATGAATTAGTCTCCCCTGAGATGAGGAGGGTCTCTGCTTTCTGTAAGTATTTGCTGTTTGTTGTACTAACATGCTTAATGATATTTGTTGTGTAGTGGGTGTGCTAGTTTTACTGCTGGGACATTGGACTCTGTTGGCTTCATCATATCTGCTGCTTTGTTCGTAGGCCTACTGCATGTTTAGTATTTGTTTTAGGATGCTTGTTTTCTTTTAGGTGTTGTCTCCTGTGCATTATGAGGCTTTGATATTTTTGTTTAAGGAAGGTAGTTGTGATATATGATGAATACTCATGTTCGGATTATGTGCTATGGACTGTTTTGTTTGCCTCTGTTAAATGTTTTTGTCCATTTACACAATTGTGTTTATGTTATATTGACTTTAGATGGTAAAGTCAACAGGCTTGGCAGTCACTCAGAAAATGTACATTTCTCCTCAATATTTTAAAACCAGCCAAGCCTATATTACTAGAAATATAACTGAAAGGAAATGCTGTTACACTAAGCTTGCTGATTGTCATCTGCTCCTTAGAACACTAGATATAAATTCAATATATTGTCTGCTATTGTCAATCAGGAAGGTTAATCGATATCCGCAGCCCTAATGTGAAAACTTACTTTGCTGCATAATTGAAAGCTCTGCTGCATAACAGGTGGATTACTGAATTTATATTTATTCATTTCGTTTCACTTGATTGACTGAAAGATTAAAAAAAATAAACATGTATTGCAATACCGTATGGTTAACCTTAATGCTCTGGAGGGAATAATCATTTTGGCATAATTTTTCACATTGTCATTTGAAAATATATAAAAAATGATTATGTGTGTACCAAACTCAGACCTTAAATCTGTAGATTACCATTTATGCACCATACTTACTTCAGGATGGTATTTTAAAACATATTTTCCTTGTAAAATATTACACCACCTGCGATTTGGATATTGCACTAATCCATTATGCAATCACAATGAAATTCTGATGAATTATTCAGCCATAGATTGTGTATTGTCTTAAGTAGCTGGAAGTACCATTTTCACTTTTCATCATAGGTGCTACCGTCTACTTCACTGCATCAAAAAAAGGTAGGAGCTTTGTCCCACTCTCTCATAGTCCCAGGTCACTCACCGATGTGCCCCCAGGTTAATACAGCTGATGCCCAGGTTGTAGCGGGACCTGATAAACCCCGGCTGCAGCTCTAGGGCCCTCGTGTAAGCCTCCACCGCCTCCTCGCTCCGGTCCCCGTTTGCCAGCGTGGCCCCCAGGCGGTTCCATAACAAGTAGTCCTGGATGAAAGGCGAGTGGTGGGGTTGGTTGATGGATAAGCAATGTCAGAGGGTGAAGATGAAAGATTTGTTTTGAGATGACTTGACTTATAAACTCTTCAGCAACACCTCTTCAGTTATTTTATTACATAAGTAAGAAAAGTACATTTCTGCAACTAGGATACAATTGTTACAAAAGACAGAGTTTGTTGGTGTTGTGAGGTGGAATCATGTGGAATCATGGGAGTTCTTGTCTTCAACACCTCTGCAGTCATTGCATTCAGCTTGTTCCGGTTACAATTCCTTCAGTGTTCATTGGAGGTCTACAATCTTCCCATCTTTTTCTTCTCTTAACTTAACTTCCAGACGTCCGAGGTTGTCTGATGATGATGGTCAAATACATAAAAATGACCAAGACCTAAAATGTTTCCTTAATATGTATACATATATTTATGGAAGCTTCTGGAACACAACCACAATGCTGACACAAGCACACATGGGATACTTCCTTATGCTTTCCCCGCTTTCCCCCTCCAAAAGTCCTGATCAAACAGATGACAGTTGGTTTAACACAATAGAGCTGAATAATCTGTGCTAACGCTCAGCCTTGAATATGAGATGACAGCATGACAAATCAGTGTTAGAAACTGTTTTTATGCTTAACCTTTTATGCACACACAACAGGGAAATGTTTGGAGAATTATGCAGCTTCCTGCTTTTGAAGTCACCTAACAAGGGTATTTTGAGGATACGTGAGTTACATCACACTGTGTCCTTGCCGTTGTTTCCCACCTGCAGGTAGACAGCACACCCAGAGGTCATGTTCTGCTACAGTATAGGGGTCCTTCATCTTTGGCTAAGCCTAGCAGCGGGATATAATTATCTGCCTTTGTGTTCAGAGCTATTTATTCCAGCAGGGGAGCAGATATTACCAAGTCAAATGTGTGGGGTTGGATTTAACAGTGAGTAATGTTCTTACCGGCCTGGGACAGAGCTGGGAGGACAGAGACTGATTTGCATGAAGGAGATGCAGAGATGGGGGAAATGTTTGTGCTTGAAAGTGTGTGTGTGTGTTTATGATGTTTTTTGTTGTATGAATCATGAGTCAGAGTCCGTTTTTAGTTTGTGTGTGTGCTTTATATATTGCTCTTCTCACAGAGCCTATGTGCCAGTCAAGAGTTCACGAGGCCAGATTTAGCTGCTCCTTGCTTCACGTATTGCTGTGACAGTTTGATGTGCTTCACTGCGTCTGTTTGCATGAGGTCTCCTTTGATATTTGTGGCTCTAAGAATATGTGCACATGATTAATGTCTGCTGTATGTGTTTGCATTGGAACATCTGGTGTGTGACAGGTCATGTTTTTGTGTGTGTGTGTGTCTGAGTTTGTGTGTGTGTTTTATAGTAGATCTTAAAAGTGTTTCTCAGTGGCCAAAACCGTGGGTTGTATCCAATATTATGCATTTTATTAGTATTGCACATATTTTAGTGCTTTCACTACAAAGTTAAACAAAATGCCACAGCCATATTATCTTAGTAAGTGAAATCAGGTTGCACGTTGTCCCTCCAAGATGATCAAATACGGATTGTCATGCTGGGTTTATATTTATATACAATAATACATACAGAAGTATACCATTTAAATACCCAAAAATATTTGGTGAGTTTATTTTTATTCCTTTAATTGTTATACAGTAAGCATAACACTCAGTTTAATAATTTTGTGGTACTCGGAAACGTTTCATTACACCCTGTAACGTAACTTCCTATGAGCAGCCATCAGTCAGGATATCTTTGAGTTTTATCAGGCGAAAAATAAGAAGTATTGGCTGTGAGAGAATACTGGAAGTATGAGATGTACTAGAATATTTGAATAAGCCACTGATCATCCATAAATAGTTCTTCATGAAAGGTGCAGAGTTTACACCATTGGCACTGCCTAGCGCCAGCTGGAGTCAACCAGCTGTCAGACATGTTGTCTCTGCAGGGATCCCAGTGCTTTCCATGTGTTCACCAACCACAGCCTACAGTCAGCTGGTCAGGTGGTGTTCAGATCTCTGACAGTGTGACCCCAGTACGAACTGAATGGCAGCATGGCAGGATACCACTAGCTTAGTAGTGTTTGTTTTGAACTGACCCTCTTAAGGATTTTATTTTTTATTTTGTATCTTCTTACATTGTACTTTATGTGTATTCTTCCTCAACTTATAACAAAATGGTGAAAAATTATCATTTAAAAAAATGTGTTGTCATGGCTTCCACTGAGGCTGGAATTAAATTATTTCTGCATGCAGAGCATCCATTCCTCTGACAAGTGTTTGTACAACTACTGCTCCACTCCAATCTGTGCGTGTGTGTGTAGTTGCGTGTGTGTCCTACCTCAGGCCGCACTGACAGCGCTGTGTTGAAGGCATCTACAGCTTTCTTGAACTCTCCGCTAACGTTGTAGAGCACCCCGAGGCCCGTCTGCAAATCTGGGTCGATGCTTTCAGAGTTTTGCTGAACTGCTTCCAGGAAGAGCTCTTTGGCCTCAGATTGTAGGGAGCTGTGGACACATGCACACACGCACACGCACACACGCACACACACACCACACACGCAGCTAAGGATTAATGTGACTTAAGGCTTCTGAGTGAGCGCTCTTAAGATCGCAAAACTATGATGTGCACTGTGCTGCATGTCAACTTTTATTTGAGTAAGAAAACAAGATGGAGATTGACAAGAGGGTAAAGGAGAGATAAAGTGACGAAAAGAGGAAGCAAGAGAAAATAAGAGCAAGGAAAAATGCAAAGTTGATTGAGAAGGACCTCCGTTTTCTTTCTTCTTTTGGTTAAGTTTATTGTCCTCTGTGTTGGAAGAACAATTTATTTTACAGCTAAATGCTACATTTTTTGTTCTCATCAGGTCTAAAGAATTGTGAAACACTCTACCTATTCACTTGAAATACTCCACCTTTCGTGTTTTCCCACGTTGTTGGCAGTGGACACCTTGCGTGGGGAGTTAGGGGATCCCATCAGGTGGGTCTTGGACTTCAGCAGGTGCTTGTACTTCGGGCTGTGCTGCAGCCAGCGGAGCAGAGTCTCACAGGCCTCGTTGCGCATACCAGTGTTGGTCAGGCTCACTGCCAGAGCCATGAGGGCTGTGAGGTTGTTAGGGTGGAGCTCCAAACACCTGGATGGAGACAGGACATGGGAGAGAAGAGACGCTGTAAGGTGTACACTTCAAAGGAATATCTAGATTTGACAGGCATTAATTGGGACAGGCCACAGCAAGGGAACATCAGGCGGAGGCTAATGATTTCTGGGCCATGAGGAATGAGCTGCACCTCTCCAGCAGAGGACAGTTTGCATTCTGCTCTCAGCATTGGGGTTGGATGATTTGCATAGATTTTGCATTTGAAAAAAATGCACCTTGTGATTGTTCCAGAGCTAGAGATGGAAAGTGTGTTTGTAGCAGGTGCAAAAGTTATATCATATATTATATAATTTTGACCATTTTGACTCGACTAAAGTCTATAATGATTACTGTAATTAAAAAGAGGAGGGAGAAGAGCAGCAATTTGTCGGATAAACAACTCTAGGATTAGTTAGGAGACTGGAGGAGAAGCCAAAAACAAGATTTAGCTTTCATCAAGATAATTTTAAGAAAGATTTGCTACAGCCTTCAAACCCTCATAATCTCAGTCAAACCAAATTATTTCTGCCCCCAACTGTGATTTGCTTTTAGTGAAGATTACATAAACTTTAGTTAAGGACACTAAAATCCACCGTACACTTTCAAGGATGTGTTTTTATTATAAAATTGTAAGGATTAATTAAATTATTCCATATTTTTCTCAAGCCAAGAGTGACAAGACAACAATGTTATCCAGGCTGATTTGTTTGTGTACAGAATTTACTGGCTCCTATAAATAACAGAAAATAACCACACATCAGTCACATTTGTTTGTCCAAAGCTGTGGAGACGAAGCTCACATCTTTTTTAGCATCAAAAGTGAAGCATCAAATAACAAAAACTAGACGAAAGCCAAGCAACATTTTTATTTTCAGCATATTTCTATTCTTCTCTGTGACAATATTTAGTGTAAAAAAAGCTGAATAGAGCAGGATAACACGGTGCTGACCAAGTGAAGTGTTGCCAGTATAGCAACAACAGGACTAATGCCAGTTAAACATCTAATCTCACTCCGTACCCAAACAGTCCCCTCACAGATGGAGCTATTACATAACGAACAAACTAAAATGTACCCCATGCAAACTATCTGAGAATCTTTTGGATTAAGTGAGACTCTTGCAGGGACAAACAGATTCACACTTTTTGTAATCCCTTTTTAAATCAACTTCATTACTATATTTATATGTAGGGGAATGGACCATATATGTTGCACTTCAATATGTAACTGTTTTTCTCCTGAATGGCTGCCTCTTGTGTTTTCAGTTTTCTTGTCAGTGTTCACACTCTCAGATTGCTGCCATTTCTGGCTTCAGCAGTGTTATGAATAAAAGTGGGCCACCTCCCATCGTAGACTCATACCGTGGCTCTCTGCAATCACCATCCATGTGGGGTGTCTCTATTTTAAGAATACAATTGTTTCCTTCCAATTGCCGGTTGGTTAAGTAATACAGTGAAAGAAATTGTTCAATGGTGATGCCGTTTTTCTCGGGACTATAAATATCATTTATTGCTGATTAGACTTCTGCTAGAAAGCTCATTTAAACCTCTCAGGCAAATGTTCCTACTTGTGCAAACATATGGTTTCTTCAACAATAAAAGCTGACTGCTCTGCTAAGTCTGAGAGCATTTTTTTGGATTTTGAATGGAATTTGGAATTTGATGCAGTTGTTTCTCCTTACCTTTGGAGAGAGACGATGGCTGATTGCTCATTCTCATTTTCTGCCTGCGTGGTACCCAGCACTTGCCAAGCCTACAGGGGAACAAAGACAGGTAAAAGTAAACAGCAATATGGAAACCTGGGCTCCGTAGACAGTATTCTCATGGGTCTGAATCACAGTTACAGTGGCTCTGATACTGCTGTCTGGCACTTTGAGTGTTCGTCTAGAACAGAGTGAGGGATGCAAGTCTTTCTGACACATCAACACAGAGAAGCTACAGTGCATTTAAACTTTCAGAACTTCACCAAATATTAAACCTTAATGAGGTCAACAAGGGTGCATACAATTATGATTACATTTAGCTTAGAGGGTTGTCCTTAGAAACACTCAGGTAACCATTAAATCATCTGAGAAATAAAAAGCAATGTGTCAGTCACTGAATGAAGTTATCAGAGATGACTTACTGACATGCTGCTTTATCTCTCGAAGAAATGTAGGTGACAGTTTAGGTGAAGACTCATTTGGGTTTTGGACTCTTGGTTGGACAAAACAATATATTGAAGACTTAAATCACAGTTTTCCAGAGCCCAAAGTGACGCCTTCAGATTTCTTGTTTTGTCTACCAAGTGCAAAACCACCAAATGTATATAATTTACTATAATGTATAAACATAGAGAGAATCTGCAAATCTCCCTTGAGAAGTTACTACCAAGAAATGTTTGGCATTTTTACCATTTTAACCATTAATTAAATGTTTAACTGATCCTCAAAATAGTTGAAGATTGATTTTCTATCTGACTGAAAGATGAATTCTTCAAAAGGTTGTTAAGTTGTTGAGTTTACGCTCAGTAAATGTTGAATGTCACTGTGTGAGAGGCACTGCGGTTGATCTTTGTGCAGTGCCTCGGCAGGGACATGCAAATGGGGTTTCCCTTGATCAGCACAAGAGGGCAGACAATGATGTAACTAACCTCAACTCCAAATGTGAGATTAAGAGATTGCTCCTCTGTTTGTGTGTGTAAGGGCATACTTAATAACCTGTTCTAAAGCTAATCTCTGTAGATGCTTTTTTGTTCCCGCTCTTCGAAATGAGGGTCGAAATTATTTCTGAATGATTCAGAGGTCTTCACAGTGGGGCAATAAGCCACTAAGCGCCCTAGGATGAATTTTGGAATCGTATTAGTTCCATACACCGCGGGATAATCCTCCCCTCTGAATAACTGGCACATTTCTGTATATTCAAGGGGATTCTGAAAGTACTTTGTATGAAGGCTTTGCTCTTCCAGCCTGCAAAGAGGTCACTCCTTTAGAAACGGGGAGAATACAAAAAGGAGAAAAAAGCTTCGGAATGAGCTATTATTCAGCTCACTGGGCAAATGGAAATTCTCATCATGAGTATGAACAAGTCGACTATTTTTGCGACAGTAAACAGCTCTTTATCAAGAAAAAAAACATCCTTTGCCCTCTACAGGCCATCAGCGTCTAGCCTGTGGGTGCTGCCTCCTAAATCTGCTCCACACTGTCTGTGTGGTCCGTGAGCCATTGTGCCTCTAGCTTCTATCAATGAGAACCAGTTATTGTGGTTGTATTGAGCCAAAACTTTGCACTAAAAACGAGAAGACTCGGAGTGCAGTTTTATTGGCCATATAGGCTGTAAATATGCCCCATCCCAAAATACATGTCTGTGTGTTTTGAATTAATTCACCTCTGAATCTTGAGGGTCCTGCAGGACGGCTCCTTCCAGCATAAGCACAGCATTTTGCAAGTCTCCCTCTCGAGACTTCTTTTGTCCCTCATCAAATGCGTTAGGCAAGTCTTTGTAAGGATTATCTGTGTGGAAGTAGTAACCCTGTAAGCAAAAAATGAAATAATAAGGACATAGACATTGTCAGTTTTTCTCTCTTTCATATTCAAATGAAAACCAGGGCTACTGTCCTGTGCAGTTGCATATTTAGGAAAGCTCCAGCAGCAGCAATTGATCTTTTCTGCTGCACATCAAACCTGGGCTGAGCTCCCCCGGGTTTGTCTGTTCTCTTTAAATGTTAAACTTTGCATTTTCAAACTGTGATTACCCTGGTGTGTTGTTGACCGCTTCTGGGCGCAATGACTTTGAAATAGCTGTTCTTTAAGAACTAGTTCTGCACGGGGATCAATCAGTGAGCCCAAGAGGTCTGATCTCGTATCATTTCCTCATACGCTCAGCTGATTTTACTGACTACATTATACTGCCCAACTATATGCTCTGCCTACCAATGATATATACATAGGGTGTAATATAGGCTATTTAACGTTGGTTTTTAACAATTTAGTTATGTGAAACATAACTAAATTGTAATAAGCTCAGCAATATTAAGGAATTGAACTCCCTGGTAAACCTTAACACTGTACAAACAGGATACCACTCGGCCTTCAGTTTTGAGCTTGGTTTCAAATGATCACTGTCTGGTAATATTGAAGTTTCCACACCAGACAACCAAGTTTAAAAGAACAGTTTGACATTTTTGTGAGTTGCTTTTTTAGAGTGGCACGATTTTCTCAGCTAACATTCTGCAAGGGAGATAATTGTATAAAGTGTATTTCCCAAACTGTTGAACGCCTCCTTTCAGGTGCAAATAGAGGGGATGGCTTATAATTTTTCCCTTTTGGAGTTGAGCATGATTCAGTTGTATTTACATCGTATTCAAAAGTACAATAAACTTGCTGTATACCACATAAAATATGCTTGGAAACTAATAGTACAATTAAGCTCTAGATGGGCATTGTTTACTCTGCAGTGGCTATCAGTCCTCTCTACATCGGTGTCATCAGGGGAGATTCCTGCACATGCTGCTGATCGTAACAGTGTAATGGTAGTGACCTTCTCATGTGGAGAGACAGAGGAGGGAATCTGCGCCTGCTCGTTTTCCGTCAGCCAGTTCCTCCGAGCCAGCTCTTCCCACTCGGCCTGCATCTTATCCCAGAACTCGGTATCTGACTGCAGACGTCAGAGAGAGAGGGAGACAGTGGGAGGAAGAAGGGAGGATAGATGGTGGAGATGAGAAGAGGAGAAGAAGTGATTAGTGCACAGTGGAACAACCGCTTCTGTAATTTCCCATCATCCTGTCTGTCCGGCTAAATGGCTTTAACCTATGGACCGCCACACTTCCGATGAGTCGTCACATCTGCAAGTCGTATCAGAGCTTAAAGGAATCCACACTCACAATGCAAACACATGGATAGCTCCAGCATGAACAATCAAGATAACAACCTATTTTCACTTTCAAATTGATTGACAGGTCTTTTTAAAATGCAAATTAAATATGACTAATTATAGGTAATTAAATTAACACTTAACATGAACTAAGTCTAAAGTACTATAATTTCTGACGCCGCTAAAGATGAGTTAACATTAAGAATGTTTGTTTACAGCTGGAAAACAGCCTGGTATTTTCTTGTTTAATCATGCAATTGAATAGACTTCTCATTTATCCCAAAATGTCAGATTGGGGCTTTAACATCTCTATTAGCTTGACATTTGAACTGTTATTTGTTGGCATTTCAGTTAACTGACTGAATCCTCGAAGGTTAGCAGCTGGGTATGCCAATCCTTCTCCTGAAGCTTTTGATTTTCTGTCAGCCAGGAAATTAAGATGGTAGATTGATGGCCTATATTGGTTATGCATTTAATTTCTCCCAATAGCAGCATTGTTTGAATTTGTCTCAATATACAGTGACTATTTTGGTGTTTTGCCACCATTATTTTCTTTGCCTGTATTGGGGTTAAAAAAATATATGTTACTGTGAATGGATGTAACAAGCTGACTCAGTAAAGAGAAGGAGAAGTCAGAGTTAAGACAGAACATGTTGGAATGAGATTATGCTATAAAACAAATCCTACATTAAACTGCTGCTAGACAATGTTTTACGCTTCAGAAATCAGCTGTTTTAATCTCAGTTATGTTGCCTGGATGATGAGTTTGCTTCAAATTATAACCGTAGAACATTGAAGACATTGTTCATTTGTACTTTTCCTCAAACCCAGCATTCGATTAGATTTCAGTGAAAATGTTGTGTGTGTGTCATTTGTTCAGCTTATCAGCTAGCTAGAAGAAAATGAATAACCTAAATCCAGATCAGACCATACGAGTGGTTTGGAAAAATTGCAGTCAAAAGGCAAAGCAGAGTGATGAGCAACTCGAGGAAATATAATCTCGAGTCAGACGTACCATTTTCCTCTTGAGCCTGATTGCTTATTGAATTGGCGCGGGTTAAGTGTTGTGGAAAAACTCAAATTTTCATATTCAAACTTGGACTGAAGGTTAATTTGGTTCTATCTCGATACATATTGAGCTCATTGGATGTCTTCAAAATAATTAATTTGTTTGAAAAATGTAATTTAAAGATCATAGTATAGGTGTTATTTTTAATCATTTTAATCATGTTATCCAAAATGTACTTTAATTGTTTCGTAGATGCTCAAAACAAATGAATATATCAACAATATACAGTATATCGACAGGTCTCTCTTGCAAATGAGACCTTGTGTCTCAATGAGATTTTACACCTGTATAAATAAAGGCTAAATAAAAAATAAAAAAATAAAATCAGTTTTTTCAAATTTCCAATTTTAATTTCGATAAAACTTCCTGTTGGTTTGTTTCCAGCCAGAATCAGCCTGTCATTGGTTCATTAAGTAAACACACCTCCAAAAACTGGAGTTTGAGAGTTTATAAGAAGTCCTAAAAACCTGTTCACCTGCATCTCAGGAGACGGCTAAAAATAGAACCTTCATTTATTTTAGTGATACCGGTAGGATTATATGTGCCTTCTCTTCTCACTCCTCACACCTGCTATTTACCTGCCTTAGTCAAGAGGAGTTGAAACAGCTTCAGTGTGTTAAAAACTGCATCAAGGGATTTAACTATGAAACAGGACCATCTAACTGTCCAATTGTACCTTCCTCTCTTTTACCGGTTTATTTTAGAGCTGATTAAAAGGTCCATGTGGCCCACAGTAGATTATTTACTTAATTCTCTCTATAAACAGACACTTTCAATTTTAACCTTTAGAATGTATGCATGCATGTAGAATGAATGTTTTATGATATGCCATTATATACTTTATCATTTGATCAGCTATTATCCTGTTTTATGACTAAATACCTTTTAATTACAGCCCTATTTGTCCCAGCTTGAGTTTTACCAAAACACATTCAACTAGGTTGGCAAACATTGTAAACATTGTTCTGTCCAAACAGCAGCGTTTTGGCGTTGTCATTGTGAGCACTGCCAAAGAACAGCCTCACTGAGCTGCTGCCATGGCTGTTAACTTTTAAATTCCTTCCCTCCGCTGTGCCGAGCCCTCTGAAGGCAGCAGGTATCTGTTTCCTCTGCCGTCTCTAATTGGAGTGATATCGCACAATGTCAAACCACAGACCATAAAAAAGTCAGTGCTTATGTGCAATTAAACGTGTCCTTATAATGAATCAACATGTTTTACTGCAGTGTAAATAAGCAGGCATTTTGGAAAGAGTTCAAACAGTTACATCAATTAAAACTTAAACAAATAATTCCCTCTGGAGCGTCGCGATTTCTTACGTCAATACTGTAGGTATACGTGAGATTAGTCAGGTACAAATGTGGTTGTGTGCCCAGGAAAATACTGCTATTTAAGAAATCCCCAAATAATGTGTGGATCCCCTGATCACATTTATGTATTTGAGGATTTAGTATGAAACTATTTTGTTCCCTGTTTGTCAACAATTATGCTAAAAATAGGCTATTTTATGTTCCATGTGAAACAGTTAAAGAAGAAGAACTTTAATGACCATAAAACAACATGCCAAATCATTCTTCTTCAATATTGTATATGGCGCTTCAGTGGGATTTAACTCTAGGTTGTTGTGTATGGGTCATTGTGATGAAAAAATATAATCACGCACTATTATGCAAGAAAAGATGATGACCAAAGAAACACTTAATAGACTTTCAAACTGTCAATGTGTCTTGATATTGTTGAAAGAGGATGAAAGTAGTCAATGTGGTCGCTCATGGTCGCTACAGCCTTTAACACACAACCTGTAATGTGCCGTTTTGGTATTCAAGTGTGGACATGGACATGATGATATTTGTGAAAATATAAAGGATTACGTCTTTTAAAAACAATAAAGTTAATGTTCTGCATGTGTTTCAGGCCACCTTGACTTTCAACCAGAAAACAGATGCAAGTTTATTGTCAGATCGTGTCGTTAAAGAAATTACAACAGCCTGCAGTTGCAAATTATGACCTCCAGGGGGCTTGTTCTGTAACAAGGTACAACATAACGTTTTAGTGCACATACAATGCCTAACATATTAGCTAAGTCCTCTTGGGATGGAGTTTGAAGTCTTTGATACATGTATGACTTGTTGAGGGATGCAGATCTTCTTCTGTCCCTTCTATCCCTCCTATTGTTTTTCAAAATGTACACACAGTTCTTCGTGAGCTCTGCCTTTGCCTCCAGCGTACATCATCACCACTACAGATGAAGTTAACGTCATGCCTGTTTTTCATGTGAGTTTTCTTCCAACTGAATGATTCTTGGCTGTCTTCCTGTCAGTCGCAGAGCAAACCGGGAACAGTAATGCTAACCAGAGCCGAACAGTCTCCTGTGACTAATATATAGAGTCCTTTTGGCTAGAGCCTCATCAGTATCACGGCACTGTGTACAGTAATTGTGTGTGTGTGTGTGTGGTGATACTGTAGAGAGGTGCAGGGTCAGAAAGATCTACCGGACCTGTGTGTGTGTGTGTGTGCCCAAGGACTTCTCATCTCCACATCTTGGAGACTTGTGATTGACGTGGAGGCAATAGTATGGCCCCTGATGGTGAGAGATGTCAGGTAATTGCAGGCCGCTGACTCTCAGACAAATTGCCTGAAGATGAGTCTCGCCTGTCAACTCTGTCAGTAAGTGCTTTTATCAAGTTGGAGGAAATCCATAGGTGTAGGGAATGTAAGGAATGAAGAAGTCATAGATGTACACATTTTTTATCAGGAACTTGGATTTGGAGGTTAGCATGACAAAGAAATTGGGTTGCTATTCCACTAGAGCCTCATTTAGCAGTTCACATTGTATTTATTTATTTAGATATGTCTAGAAGTGCTCAGTCAGTAAAAGTAGCAAAGTTGTAATTAAACTATAAACCATTACAAGGTAGCTTCGTTAGTATTATTATTTTAATATGTCCAAACTAAAGTAATCAACCCGCACGACTGCACTGAAAATTATGTTCCAATATATTTGATTTTTTACAAGAGGTGTGTTTGTGCTTGGATCAGCTGGGATATACCTCGTTATATTGAAATGTGTTGATTTGCTGCTTTTGAATTTGAATCATGTCACTGAGTGAGCAGGGAGAAATAGAAAAGGAAAATCATGTGTGTTTGTTTCTTACTGCCCTCCATAATGTAGACTTTGTGAACTTTAGTTTAATGGTAGATATGGATGATGTTTGATACATGTGATGGTTTATTAAGTGAATGAAAGAAAACCTAGCTGTTCTCTGTACTGTAAATATCAAATATTGATCAAATGTGAAGGTGCCTTATTATCCCATGAGGGATGGACTGTGAGATGTCAGGACACTTAAATTCATTCATGTGCAAGCAACCTTTTTATGATGTGACTTGTCAAGGTGGAGCTATCGTTAAACTAGTTTATGTACTGCTTGGTACTTTAACCTACAGCATAAGGATTAAACTGCACATATGTTTTGGAATTTACAAGGCAACTATAAAAGCTGTTAAGTATATCTTATGGAGTACAATATTTATGTAGTAAAGTGGAATTCTAAAGTAACATATAATGGAAATTCAAGTAAAGTACAAATACCTCAAACACTTATTGACTTAAGTGCAGTACCTGATTTATTTCAATGTAATGTGTGTGTATGTCATGTGACTTGGCAATTTTTCAATGTTAATATGAATGTTTGTCATGCTTCAGCAATTATGCTC